TTTATGGATAGATAAGAACCACTATGTTACCTAACAGCATGTATCTCCAATATATCACCTACTCTGATAACGTTGTCTATTATTTCTCATTGTCTATAGCAGCAAATTATTATCTAAATTTGAGGTAACAAATTTAAAAGAAATTTATTGCACATTTAAAATATAAATTATACAATTTTTTGATTCCTGCCATGGTGACTTTTCTTTAAAAATTGTGAACTTTTTGTTCATTTCTTTGCTAAATTCTTGACTGTTAAATTTTTTTCAATACACAATTGTTTTAAGTACTATTCGTTGTTGTCAGTAAAAATTTTATTAGACATACATTTTAATCGTACGTTTAAATACTCGTAAGTATACGATTATTCTAGTACGTGTTAATCGGATAGAAAAAAAATGTGATGCAACAGATTGCAGTTTTCGTAGTCTGATGTGCATCATTAATAAAGGTGAGCGGATTCATGTGATTTCCACAAAACAGAAAATTGGGACGTAGAAGTAATGCATTAAAAAAAGAGCACGTTTGATGTATATATGCATTGTGTACGCAATTACATGCGCACGAGAGCTTTAAAGCACCCCGAGTGGTGTTAATCGTCGGGAGGTCGATTTTCAACTAGTACATTCTGATACCGGATACCCGAGAACACACTCATTTGAAAATGATGGTGTAGCAAATTCTTTGAAACAATTGGCATTTGCACATTTGTTGTGAAATTGATTAAAATTCACGGTAATTTATACTACAAGCAATTCGATCCTTTGGTGCCTGACGAGTAGGACCCAAACATCCACGCATAAGCTCACTCGTGATTTGCATCAGCACATGAGATTAGCATATACATATACACATTTGAAACGGTTCAAAATATCGAATCATTTTTCAATTCGTTCAAATAGATTTCACACGAGTGTAAAAATCCGGGAAGGGGAATTCCAATTAAATTATTCCGATTCCCCGAGCTCGAACCGGATAATAAAAGTATCTGGTAGCTATTTTGATGCCTTGGACCGGAAGTACGCATTTAAATCGTGATTTATTTTTGAACTTGGGCCGAAACTCAATAAACGACTCTTTTTTCGTTATTATTTCACATACGGCTTAAAAATGTCTCTGACGTATACCTATACACTACATGTAATCTGCAGCAAAGAATCGAATAAGGCACTTTACAAACAAACTTGGTAAAACCGTCCCTCGTGTACCGGATGGACGTGGATGCGCGAATGCAAAGACAGCCACAATCATATGTACAAAGCCATAACCCACGAGTGACAGGGAGATCTTTGTCCTCGATAATTCGATCCTGATCATAGCAATAAAACAAAGTGAATACCTCGAGAGAGAGAGAGAGGATCATCGCGGGGCTCGGTGCCATTACTCGATGGGACGGAAGATCCGAGCGGATGCCGGGGCAGTTGAACTCTACAAATGTACCCATAATCAACCAATACAACTCAGGAGCGAGGAGTCATTTTTTCCGCAAATACGTACATACACATTCGTAAGAGGGTCGATCGAAAAAACTTGGGTTTTGTACTAAAAGATGGGGGGGGGGGGACACTGTATTCGTGTGACAACGGCACATACCCCATCATTATAAAACACGAGCTTTGAATTGTAGTCTGCCATCATCAGTCCACAAGTACATTTATCTCCCAAAACGCGCGTCGATAGGGGGTAGGTATTATATATAATTTAATGGACGTATAGGTAAATTGGTTTGCTTTTCTTTCGCTTGTCCTTCCCCGATGGCTTTCGTGAGGTATATAAACCGTACGCGCGTGCACGTTCGTCGACGGTCAGTTCAACGACTCCGTCTCGTTTCGGTTATCTGATCGTCGAACGAGACGGCCCCTTATGTATTTTCATACGTTAGGTATATATACCTGTACCTATACTAATGGGCACTTTACTCCCATCCGACGTGAGTTACAACGTGTTATTATTTGTTATTTCCAATGGACACGCGCGTTACATTCGTCAAACGAATTTTTTTTTTTTTTGCTTTCTTCTTCCTTTTCGCTCGACGCACGATGGTGATTTCTCGGTAAACGATGCACTTTTGTCTCGCACATAGGCACCACCGCAAGAGGCAATCTTTGGCGTTTCTTCTCTTTCTGATGTTAACTACGTACTCGCGCTCCGAGAGATCCCTTGTGTGTGATATACCTACGTGGTGATGTGTTGTTGGGTGCAAGCATATGTAATGCTTTTCGTGGCGAATAATACCTACTTGCATCTCACGGTATGCGCATCCAATTGCATCTCAATCCTGCCGATGAATTTTTCCATCTCTCGTTGTCCTTGGACCCAAATGCCCGACAACACTCTCTTCGTACTCAATATTTTTTTCGAAATCTGCACGGCTCCAACGAAGATCTTTGTTTCGGGGCGTATGTTGTACAGTAAATCAATTCAACTGGTAACGGCGAGATCGAAATGCTCCCGCGGCAGAGTAGGTCATGTATATTTTAATGCATCATCGAAAAGAAAGGAGAATCCGAGAGCCCGGGAAGAAGGGCATTTGAAATTCATATGGGTATACGTATATATGTATTTATTGTAATGTACGCCACGCTTCCACGTATACAAATACATGGATACATCATCGAAATGATTTATTTTTGCAAGTATATACGTAATTTACATATAGACCATGTGTGATCAAATAATTTGAAGAGAATCGCGTTTCATCGTGGAAATAAATATTTACTTTGGTCTTGGAGTTGAATCGAAAAAAAAAAAAAAAAAAAAAGAAAACGACTCGGGAAAGCCCTTCGGTGTGGCCGCTGCTTGCGCTCGGCTGCACAGAGCTCGACTCGTACTACTGTACGGCCAGAGAGGGATGGGCACTGTACATTGTAGGACACACGTGTACAGCTACCATCGCAAGTAATTATGCGTACAGATGTGCTCATTGCGTGACCTTCGACACCTCACCCCGCTGTACGCGAAATAAACACATTTCCCGGAATATTCGATCTTTGATATAATGCGTCCAATCGAGTCAACGTAGTTTTCTTTCCGCTTTTTTTGTTGCGTTTGGTTCTATACCTATCGCTGAACATTTCTTTTTTACCGCTGAGTTTTTTTAACGCCTGTACTCGATCAAAACGGCCATTGAATGACCCAACATACAAAAAAAAAAAACAAAACCTCCATTCGATTTAGGTTCAATTTACTTTACTGAGCGTAAAATGAAAGTAACGGTTGTACGCAAAATGTATATATACCGCACGCGCGAGTGAATTGAAAGTGCACTGCGTGATTTATATTTTAGCGTGAAGGGGTAGCGCAGCGCGATCCACAATTGACCACACACGATTCCAGCGCGTAAGGGTATTTTTTTTTTTTTTCTGGTCTACATAAAAATGTTAACCCAAAGCGACACTTGGTTGGGGGAGCGCATTTTGGTGAAAGTAATACACTTTCCGGGGGATGGCCACCCATGGAAGTACGTACTTTTAAAATTTTAATAAATCCTGCCCGACTGGCTCGTAAATAACGCCAAACGTCGGGCACAAAATTACTGCCACCGCGTGACAAAGGCAACCGTGGGGGGAGGGAGTTGGAAAAAATTTAATACGCGTTCCATGGACGCTGTTGATGTGGTTAAGCCGAATGTAAATATAAAAGAGAGGGAGGGGGGAGATGAATGCAACACACGTGTTTTGTTTGAAATTGAACTTGAGCAATTCACCAGCGGAGTCAGTACGAGAGGAACTTGAGCCGATTATGGAGCACATACGTGACTGCAGTTAACGTACATAGAGAGCTATAGGGAAGGAACGCACGTGCAAAGTCACCGAGAGAGGGTGTATATAGGAAATTTAAAGCCATATGAATAATCTCCTCCCCCCAGGCCCGCGTTCGGCAAATACAGATGGGATATTCTCCTCCGCTGGGTTCTCCAAGTTTATTGTACGTTTATTCAATTTGAAACCGAATAAACTTCGGTACATTGTTCGCTCCTTCTCGCCTCTGTTTGCCCGGAAATTCACTCGATACCTTTTGTCCCTGTCGGCAAACAGACCACGGGCCTTGCAGTGTACAAACACTTTTCTCAGCTTTACCGGAGTACATAATATATATACACGTCTATCGGACGCGAGAAAATATATTATTGTTTTGTATTGCAAAATGATTGGGCTGCATGTCATTTTTTGGCGTTGTGGAAATCCCATTTGACCGCGTCAGTCGAAATGAGATTGGGAAAAGATTGAAGCCACCAAAGTTAATCAATGGTACGGATATAGGCGTGTCGCTTGGCTCGATTCGAGAGGCCAGGGTCAACGGCATGTAAAAATCGTTAATCGATAACGATAAATAACACGTGTACTGTTCCGTCATCAGTGGCGAGTGTTGCGCCTCCACGCGCGTCATAGCTGTGATTAGATACTTGATCGGCTCGCTCGTTGCCGAAAAATGCGGTCGCTACTACTGTTTCCTTATCACCGCGTACGTATACGTACTTTGGTGTGTAGGTAAAGCAACATTGAAAACTTTCGAATCACGAATGCCGATGGATCAATTGATTGTCACACTGATAAGGCATTCGATTTCGTGCGTGTGCGTGTACATTTTTTTTCTGTCCGTTTATTGTTGTTTTTCTTGCCTTGACATTTGAATGGCAAAACAAACGCTCTAAAACAGATGCAACGCAATGGAAAATAAAAATAATCCAATTGAAATGCACAAGCGGTGATTAATGGTGCACGTAGAGGGAAAAAAAAAGAAAAAAAAAAAAAAAAAGAAAATTAAAATTGTTTTTAAATACCTACTTTGAGATTATTCCAACAAATAAATAACATTGCAAGTGTGCAACTAGCGAGTACGTAGATGTTGGCAAATTAACGTGCAACGTAAACTTTAACGACACAAATTGAAATTTCTTTTGGGGCTATTGAAAAACATGCTCGAATCTCAAATTGTTGGCATCATGTAAAATTGAACTATTTGTAAAGTTGAAAAATTAAAACAAAAAAACAAAACTCACCGACATCGTGCAACTCAAAGCTTCGGATCTCTCGATCAACTACGATCCAAGTAAATAAGTACCAATGGCCAATCTTTAGTGAATCCTGACTGTGCTCAGCTGCGCGCATCAAGTAATTGGTACAGATGTATACTTATAACAGTTGTTTTGTTTTTTTTTCACACAACTGTCATCAGCGTAGCAGTTGTAACATCGTTATCGGTGTTTCTGAAATTTTTCCAGACATCCATTTGTTTGGGCATGAAAAGTGATGGATATATCCGCGGGGGATGGTGTACGTACCTAGTATATATTTATTATCTTGTACACTCTTACATATGTGTATCAAGAGTATATCAACGGTTAATAAGCGAGACGATAAACACACAGCGGGCAATGTTTGTCATCACTGACCGAACCACCGAACGAAAATAACGTAATTCACGTTACACGCATCGTCAGAGTGAGCCATGGTACTTATCGTAGACTGTCCTGCTCTCTTGGGTTGAGAAAAAAAAAAAAAAAAAAAAAAAAGAAACACATGCAAATTGTCGATGCACGTGTGTACGTGTGTATGTATGCAGAGACCGATAACGTCGAAGAGAGAGGAAGGCACTGTTTAACAAAACATCCGGCGCGTCGTGGGTATACCACCGAGAGCCACGTGATTTTTTTTTCGTTTGCAAAGAGGAAAACTCCACATCCACACTGTGACGATCACTCGAGTTGTTCTCTCTTATCTCGCGATGTTTGCGCCATCCGTGTAATACGTATATGCCAAGTACGTACGTAAATTAAAGCACGGGGTGTTACGCGTCTGCTGCAAACTGTACATCAATTGATCTACTGTCAATCTACAAGTATGTTATACAAACTATCAACGATATTGGTGTACCGATGGAGGCCGCCTCATCGTTCCTCCGACGAGGCCTCAGCGACGTTTTCTTACTCCGCTATGACTTTTCCAAACTCTCGCTTTCTACTATCATTTCCGCACACTTTTTTCTTCATTCAAAGCTACAAGTACTTGGTGTAGTTTTGCGTCTGGACAACCAAGTGCTTTGGGTTTGGAAAATATTTCTTTCAGTTTCTGGCTATAACTGTTGATTAAAAAAAAAATGTCGAGTGTATTCGGTTTGAAATTTCCACTGAATCCAAGAGAAAGAAGCAACAGAGTGTGATGCCACTTGGCAGCTTAGTCGTCGGCGTCCGGCGCCGGACCTCGTTTCCACGAGACTACCTACTTGCCGCCTCTCTTCCGTCAGCGGGGAGTCCCGGCCCGGACCGGCGTGCGCTCAGCCAACCCTATACGTATAGGACATGCTCTCGGGGGGATATATCTTACGCATGTCCGCGGGTGGGTGTGTTGCGAACCCCTACCCCCCCCCACCCCTTTCTCACTTTCGTCAGCTGTGTGTTGTTGTTGTGATGCGCTACGCGTGTATTATATACATCTTGTATTGCAGCACCGCACAGCCGTTTCAACTTGTTGCTTCGGTAGTTGCTTCCTTTGAGGGTTTTGTTCTTACAAAAGTGTTAAGAGTTGGGCTGATCGACATCGCTGAGGATCATATTCTACGGGACGGCGAAGCTCGATGTGAAATTAATGAAGATTCGGGATGAACGAGCTTCATCGTGAAAACTAAAACTGGAAGCGGCCTCGATATGGTAGTCATCCGTCTGTAGCGACTACTACGCTCGGCGAATAATAGTGGAATCGAGTTACACGGGGTGTCACTGCATGCATGTGCATATAACCGTAACGCGATTAATTGAGCCGTTCTAAGCTTCGCGCTGTCGGATTGGGCGGGCCCGTATCGATTGCAGATCGATCTGAACGGTGATGGGCGTTGATTTGACTGCGCGCTCACGAGAGCTCCTATTCCTCAAAAGTTAATTTCGCGCTCGTTATTCGTTCACCGTGGTGGCGTCTGGATGCACTATAGTCGTGACGGCGCGATTACAATTTTTGCCTACAAAGACATTATATCAAATGGTGTGTGTGATTTTTCGCCAATAGAGAAAAAATGAAAGGACATGATGAAATTCTTTTAAATACTTTACTTATGTACAAAAGAAAAAAAACTAGGCGTTGCTTTACCAAGTTTACAGTCTCGCATTTTATTTTCAGTATCAAATGAGTTTTACAAAAATCACATGTAACGATATGTTTTCAATGAAAAATATTTAGAACAGTCGTTAAAATGCGTGGATGCGCTTGTAAAATAAAAAACAAAAAAAAAAAAAAAAACTCGATGTAAAAAATCAATAAAAATATTTACTCATGTTTTCATGTCTTCGTTGCTACTACTGATTTTTCCATGTGCTTTATCTACATTTTCCTTGAGCTTTAACTTCTCTGAAATTAATTCCAAATGTGTCTTCAGAGCTTGGTCCAATTTTCTCTTACTACTGGCTTCAGTTTCGATATAATGCTGAATTAACTTGATTGGATCTTTTTCATCCATAGCCTTATCACTTGGGTTTAATTTATAACGTAATTTTATTACCAAAGCCGCGTCCTCTATCTTTTCTGACAAAATGTTTTCTAACACAACGTTGTCTGTATTTTTGGTCCATGCCAAATAAAATATCATTGCACCGTAGTGCCTCGTAGATCTCAGCCGATCATGATGCATTTTTTCATTCACGTGGTCGTATGTTACCTTGGTTACTCTGTGGTAATTAGGATCATCTGGATCAAATTGCAGACATGCTCTGTTTAATATAAATTCGTAGTCTTCTCTGTCAAGTATAGGCTGTGAACCATATTGAGTAATAAATAAAATTGTTTAATTTTTTTTTTTTTTTTTTTTTTTTTTCAAAATGAAAAGAATTGTTTGGCACCTGCAAATGTTCATCTTCAAACATCTTTGGCATCCTTACGTCTTTGTCTTGTACTGGAAAGTATATCTGATTTAAACGGTCCCTCTCGACATGTTTTGCTGGACGTAAAATGCCATTTGGTTCTCTAACAACGATCACTCTGTTTCTATTACTTACTCCAAAGGTAATGTCTGTGAAAACGTATTTACAATCGGATAGTCCTTGCAGTTCGGGGTCTTTTGACAATATACGATCGTCTTCCTCTCTAAGTTTAACAATTGGTGGTATTTGTAATCGCTCCCACATAAATTTTTCTGCCTTCGCTCGTGCCTCTTCCAACGCTTCATTCGTCATGAATTTATACTCTGGTGGTACTAACGGTTGACCATCTAAGCGTCGTCTAAATACTTTTTCAGGATCCGGACGTGTGAGTGTCTGTAAAATTTTTTGAATGTCTTCGCTGAAAAAGTATGGTGCTGGGTCTCGATCGTATACCACTTCTGAAATACAATTTTTTTATCAATAGGCACAACTGATTGACTGCTTTTAGAATAACGTTTAAATAACTAACAATTTTTAAATCCTCGTACAAAGAAATTTACACAATACGTCTCTGAGAGTAACAATACAAGTGATAGTTACATGCATAACCTCTTGCGAGTATTAATAACGTTTACCTGTGCTAGTGGAGTAAGTACTTTTCTTCGTGATTTGCACAGCCGATGAACGAGATGAGAGCCGGAAAGACAAATATAATCCTCGCAGGAGCATGATGCTTTTTAAATGATTGCACTTATTTATCTAGTTTTACGATAACTAAATAAACCCGTTCATCGAAAATGTTTACGTTCTAGAGCAGACGACTCTCGTGGGATACCCTCCCTTCTATTCCCGCACAATTTTCAAATTTCAAAAAAGTTTTATGAAAATTTCCTTATTCGCTCAACGTTAAACGTTTGTCCTTGTAGACAATCGCCATTATTTCATAAATAAAGTCCTTTTTTTTAGCCATCTAATTGAAAAATAAGTAATCTTATTGGGTCATATCCTTTGTCGTTTTTCAACCAATCAGGAAACTTTTTAAGTCCTTACACACATTTGACTCGCCGAACAACGTTCTTGTGTTATTGGGTTATACCATTCCAACGTTCCTGTGTTATGGGGTTGTTCCATTCCAACGTTCCTGTGTTATGGGGTTACTGGGTTATACCATTTCAACGTTCCTATTTTATTGGGTCGTGTGGGCTTTTACCATTCTAGCGTTCCTGTGTTATACCATTCTAAAGTTCCGTGTTTTGGATTGTACCATTCCAACATTCCATTCCGTTGTTTCTGTATTCTGCGTGGGTATAATCCGCAATTGCCACAAGCCAGTTACATATGTAAGACATAACACAACATCGTTGCAGGAGTGGTATTCCGTAACTAGTTTGCTGTACATCAGCTACCTATGCTACCTGTAGCCTACGCTACAACATAAGCTCACACGGGGAAAATAAGTTACGGAATACCACCCCAGGGGTATGGGCACTGGAGAGGTATTCGTAACTTTTTCCAGGGTTGGAACTCTATTTGTGTAGCGCACTCTATCCTTACATCTCTATGACTTTGGATCTCCGCGAATCATGAGTTTTCCCAATATTTCACAATTTACCCCCCTACCCAGCTCCAACTCGGCGATTGCGGAATAAGTACACCCCGCGCGTGTTTCGTGTCCGTTTTTATCGCGCGCGTTTTTTGTGCTGCTTCTCTCTCTCGCTCATATTGTGGTATACATATACAGGTTAAGAATTGTCACATGCAAAATATAAATAAAACAGAATGTACACACAATTTAAAGCGCCAATAAAACTACTTTGCTGTCTGATGAGGTTTTAAAAAAACCAGTCTTTATCTGTTATTACTGGAATATATACACAAGTGTGAGTAAAAATACTTAAATTAATTTGCACCAGTTGATAATAAGCTAATTTTTATTTACGTATTTAGGTGTAAATGGCTTCAAATACCGATGTTGATATGGACTCAAGCTCCATTGAGTTTACTTTAACAGACACTTATGAACATTTAAAAGAAGTAAAACACGAAAAGGAGCAAGAAATAAAAAAATTAATAAATATCGTTAAAAATAATCAAGTTCAAACTTTGGGGCCTAATGTAACATCTGAACAGATCAGGCAAAAAAGATTGAAATTCGTGCAATCAGTGCAGAAATTCATCACTGAGAAACAACCTAAAGATCTGCCAATTCCACTTACGAATGATTTTTACGCTAACGCTGTTCAAGAAATTGATGCTGAAGTTTCCGCAATTGGGGAACTTCATAAAAACACTGATGAGGAAATAAATGAAATAATCAGTGATATCAATTAGTAAGAAAATTTTCATCTTTGTAGTACTATTCTCAATTATAGTCACTTTAAATTATTGTAACTTAAGTATGGAGAAAAAACTAGCTGCATTCAAAGAAATGAAAGAAGCTTTAGCTGCCGAAGAGAATGAAACCAACAGTAATTACGAGGCTGAAATGATGATTGCCAAAAAAATATTTCAAGAGGTCAAAAAAGATTTGGTAAAAAAATCAATGTAGTTTAACAAAAAATATGTAAGTCAATGTCTTGTTATTTTTTTTGTTCTGTTTTTTCAGCAAGTCACTGTTGATTTACTGTTTCCTGAAAACTTAGGCTTTCAAGAGATTTTATGTGTAAGTACTCATTTAAGTTAGTTTAATATAAATTTGTATGATAGTTATTGCTTAACGAATTCATTTTGTCACAGATTCTCACAAGAGCTTTGAATAAAGGTGGAGACGACTTGTATATCTCAGTAGAAACAAAATATTTGGATTTCATTAATTTTTTGGAATATGCAGATATTGTTCAGTTCCACCCAAATGATAATCGCAAAGTTAAGCTTAGAGAATTTTAATTAAGTCTGAGGCCTGTGAAAAAATCGATTATAGTATTATTGATAAGTACAAAAAATAATTGGATTGTTCATATGCTAAGTTTCAACTAAATTATCATCAATAACACAGCAATCGTAAAAAGATTATTGATATAATTTAATTACTAATATTGAAAAATCATGTAACATAGTTTTTAGAATTAATGAAAAATGTTGGTATCATAAATCAATTGTATTTTTAAATACATTTATACATAAATTGAATAAAAAAAGATTCGTTATTTTTTACAAATTGTAAAATTACCACATGAATGGAGCGCGCTCCCTTAAAATTCTAACACCAATCTGCTCCCATTCTTGCCAACCTATCCAAAGCTCTTGAGCCGATTCCAAGCAGCTCAATATTGCAGCACCTTTCCATGCTGTCATTCCAGGATCAATGTCTTTTGGCATAGTTATAACATCCATTTGTTCTAAAAATTTCATAAGTATTTAAAAAATATTGTATTAATCTTTTTCCTACAGTGCTTCTCACCTGCTCTATACATGTAAGGGATCTGTAGGGATATCCTATTATGAAGCCAAGTTCCAATACCTCGAAACTTCATCCCTGAGCCAACAACCAGTATACAACTGTACATCTTGCGTTTTAAATCGTCCGTAGCTGAATTAAATTTTTATTAATTATAATAAATTAATTCAGATGAAAATAAGTAGTTTTTGTTCGATACTAACGACATCGATCAATGCTTTGAAGTACAGCATGATCAAGTCCAAGAAGCTGCTGAGGACCAACAACAAAGTCTTTTGGAGCATCGAGTTCTCGGGTGTTTAAAGCATTTGGCGTTGAATCTACGTTATCTACGACAACCTCATCTTCACCTGGAACAACCGAAATCGTAGATTCTTCAGGCATCTCGGAATTTTGTTCCAAATTCTCTTTTATTCCTCTCCGCTAAAAAAATTAAAAAAATAATTTTCTTTGTTTTTTTTTTTTTCAAAAAAAGAAAAAAAATTCCTGACAAGATGAAATTTCTCTAAATATTTACACTAGTCTCCCGTAAGTAACTCTCATCATGGGGGTCTTCAGAATCACCTGTATAACGTTTTTGAATGTGTGCACCGTGTGCTCCTGTCAATCGAAAAAGTTCTGGTTGAAAGAGACTCAGTGGTGCAATGAGACACTCGTCTCCTACCTACGGTAATTACTGTAGTTAATTGGATGTAGTAATTTCTTTGTTAATCCTGAAATTAAAAAATTAACACTCACTTGGATGGTGTAGCTTTCACTAGGGGCTCGCGACTTTGTTACCGTAAAAGTTTTTTCTTGGGATCCACAAATGTTAAGATCAACATGACAAAAGTCGCATTTAAGCTGGTCCAGAAGCTGAGCGTCAAACCGATTCGATGGATCGCAATTTTTGTAAGGAAAAGCGCTTTTTTGAAGCAGCCAGAAGAAAGTCTGGGTGATGTCTCCACCACCATAGTCCATTCGTACGCGCGTATTTCGGTGTGAAATCCCATCCTCAACGCACGATACGGATGTTTTTTCTTCACCTAAATCGACGACACACGCGTAGCCGAGTCCGGCACCAAATGTTGCTGCTACATGATCCTGAAGACAAATTCGTTTTACAAGGAACGTTTTAATAATTTGGTGATAATTGGATTTACCTGTAGCAGAAAACAGCTTCCAAATCCTATTTCACACAACAAAAGTGTCGTTAATTCTTTTAAATACCATCTATTATAAATATCTGGAATAATCAAAACTGCTCTGTAATGTTTCAAGTCCTTCAAGGGTACATCCATTTTTTCAGTCAGAATATGTTCCCAGATAGTTTTTAAATCTGCAAGAACAGCTCGTAGACTGCCTCCTGGGCCATTATGTACATTCAAATCTCCTCTTTTAAACGGAAAATGTATATTATATTTATCCTCTGGATTCAAATTTAAAACGTCATCCCCTATGATAACTTCTTCCTCTCTTTTACAATATTCGTTAGCAGTGGGTGACTCTATTTTCGGAGTAGATCTACGATTAAAAGCAGCTATCTGCTGAGGAGGTGTAGCGTATCTCCTCCTTCCATCAGACTGTAGGCATGATTGCAGGGTCAAGGAGATCTGTAATCTTGACTCTTCCATCGCCTGGGTCAACTCTTTAGAACGAGGAACAAGAGGTGGCAAGAAGGGGTCTTGGTACACCAGCCCATTTGGTTTTCTCTTTCTAGCGATCGCATTTAGTATTGTGATTGGATTGACATCCGAAGCTCTACCAATACGCAAATTTTTGGAGCCAGGATGAATTATTATTATCGTTTGAGCTTGTACTTGCTGAATAAATAATATTACATGTATAAATAAATTTAAAAACAATAAGCTTCAGTTAAAAGACAAATGGACGCACCTCTGCACAGGATTCTTGAAATACCGGCATTGTTGCAGGTTATACAATCTGATTATTGGTTGTTTGATTTTAAAATAATGGATAACTCAACTGTAATCGTGCATTTTCAAAATACATGCCAGTACAGACAGATTTGTTTGAAAACTAATGCACCAACACTTTTTCTAATTTGTCGAACACCTGGTAAATAAGACAACGGTGGTTGACAAAAACTTATGCACAAATGAATAAGCACTAGCAATTTTCATTATAGATGTTTCACGTTTTTTTATGAAGGATCGTACACACCCTCACACAACCACAAGTTGTGTTGTACAACTGCAGAGAGGTGTATACCTGGTTGTAATTTGAATGTTTTGATTTTTGAATGTGATTTGTTTTCACACTATACTCTCTCTCAGCTGTCATCTCGTATGATCGATATATATCGATTGACCTCTCGAAATCAACCATTTAACGTTCATTGTTTTCATTTTACTAATAAGCTTACAATTTACAACCGTGTTCATTAGGTACCAATAGCTTTTTAATTGTAAATATTTAATGAGCGTAACAAAATTCTTATCAATCGCAGCATGATAACTAATCGCAGTCGAAAATTTAAGGAAAATTTCAACCAATCAGAAGGCCTCTAATGGTTTTTTGTCCTTATCGGGCCTTGAATGTAGTGAAACAATTATGTGATAAGTAAGTAAGTAAGATACGATAAGGTTCCTCCCTAAGAGTTAAAAACTTGATAGAGCATAAAAATATAGTCGTATATAGTCGTGTAGCCAACAAGCCAACAGTCTGTGCGCGCGTGCATTATAAGCAAAAGTTGTAAGTACAATTTTAGATTTCGTCATCACGAAGTTAGAATTGTCAGATTATTCAGAATCACCTCTGAATCACGGGACACGGTGCAGTGTGCGTTGGAGTGTCCAGTAGTTAGTCGCTATAAGGAATATAAAAGGATAATATATAGGTAAGGTGCAACAACTGCATGCGTGCATTGTGTACTTGATTTGTTGGTCCATCACATCACTTTTCAATTTGTGCACTAGCTGTCTCTTCTCTTGCAGAAGACGTGACTTAAAATTAGAGTGGCTTTCAACTTTCAAGTACACAAAGGGTATATACATACATATACATGTATTAAGTATATATCTCAAATATCGGTAAAGTGCGAGAGTGGTTTTATCATTCTGTCGTGACGTGACTTTGTGTTTTTTTCGGAAGCAACAGTGACTAATACTCCTGAGAGGTTCATGTGTCGTCGGCTGTTGTCTTTGCCGAGGAGGAGAGCAGCATCGCTTGGAGGAGACGGAGGAGTAGCTGCTGGTGCTGCTGCTTCCAACGCAGGCCCCTGCTTTGGCGAATGTGTTATTCACGCAGCAGGCATTTAAATGTTATCGCGAATATTTCCTCTGGAAAATGAAAACGCCGCCGTCAAGAGGAAGCGTCAGATCGACACCCTAAAGATCTTCAACGACAAGTGAGTTGATGTTTGTTTCTGTCTCACATTTGCGAGTTGCGAATCATGCCTTCATTATAACATCACGCGTAACCTAATCTTTGTACCTTTGCTCTCCTAATGGGTTTTTCTATTTTTTTTTTTTTTTTTTTTACAAGATGACGATGTTTATTTTATCTACACTTGTTGGATTAACCTATTTACCTCTTATTCACATAGAGTATTCCCAGCTATTCTTGATCCTCTCTATATGATCGTGAACAATGCCTTTTTTTTATCACGCTCTGTTTTCTTTGTTTTCATCAGCACTTGTCAGTTATTAAAAAACTGGTCTTTTCCATCACTCCCTAAAGCGTCCTGATTAAGTTATTAAATAATCTAAACTTTTGATCAAGATCTTTTAAAGGGTATGTGGTATAATGGTTAAATATGTTTCTCTAGTTATGTGGTAATTAATACGCTTATGCAACGTTAAAGACAATAAAATATCATGTTGTGTACTGCAGACGATCAAAATCATCATTTACTTGAAAGGCATTGTTCAATAATTTTTTTATTACGACAACTTTTGCGGTTGTAATACATCAATTTTTTGCAGTGTCTTGGAACTTCAGGAGGGTGTTGAATATCAAGTGCAATTTGATAGTGGAGACAAACGCATGGCCATTCTGGTCTCTTTATCCCCAGAATTTCCACTGGAAAAACCTGTACTCAGAGTTTCACCTCCGATAATTCACAAGTGGTGCAATGAACACAGTGAAATCACTAATGCACCAGGATTGTTAAATGTAATTCAACTGATTATAATTTTTGCTTGTGTAAATATTTTGGTGATTTTTTTTTTTCAAACCTACATTTTTTTTTACAGTTTACAGTACATAGTGATCTTGGACGTGTTGTCCAAGCTATTATCAGAGAATTCAGCAAGAATCCTCCGAGGTTTGTCGAAGACAATTCTCCAGTATCTAATCTTCCATACGGAGGTATTTATGATTTCCATACAACAAAGTTTTTTTTTTACTTTCAACCTAGTACTAGCGTAAAATCATGAAAATACTACATTACAGATTTAGCTGGGAGAGCGTCACCTTCGTACACTTGGAAGCCACATGATCTCGCATCCACCACTTACAATGCCTACTACAACACTTCATTCCAACCGTTCTCCTCATCAAATGCAACGCCCAGCATTTACAACTACAATTACACTAACGCCAGCAATACGTACAATATTGCCGACCAGGCAGCATCGAAGCAGTACGTGCCTATGGGTCCTTACCCGGAGAACGCGAGAAACTCGGGCCAATTTAATGCGACAAACGCGCCGCAGTACACGTCGAGCCCGGGTGCGAACAATTTCACGAACCTGCATTACGTGAACGCCAATGTGGGGCCATCGATGCAAAATCAAGTGCAATATAAAAGTAGTAGCTTACACTGTGCGGAATTTCCAGAGCTTGATAAATTGACGAACGAAGAATTAATGAAGTTGGGCGAGGAGGAAGACTTGATGGACGAATTTTTGTTAAAGCACACTAAATTGAAAGAAATCGACTCTGCGGTAGAGAGTGCCATCGAATGGGTAGAAAAAACGGCAGGTACGTTTTGAAAATAATTAATAAATTTTGTTCACCTGTTTTTACCACAACAACTATTACTTTTAGAATCGAACCTATTGAAGGAGCAAGAACTGCAAGAGCTACGAAACGACGTGGCCGAAAAAGTAAAAGAAATGGAGGCATTGAAGACTACATATGAAAATCTCGTCGAAAAACACAACGAATTATCAAAAGTGTTCGATCCGGAGCACATCAGGGACTGTTTGAGTAAGGCTGCAGATGCAAGCCAGGAGCAGAGCGAGGTGATAGCCCAGGACTTTCTCAATCGAAAGATTGATGTTGAACGTTTCCTAAGCACATATATTGAGTGCAGGAAACTCGGTCAAGCAAGGCGCACCAAAGAGGAAAAGCTTACACATCAGCTGAATGAGCTCAAGAGATCAAATCATTGAACCCATAAACAAGCGCGCGTTTTTTGTGTAAAAAAAAAGAGCAGCTGTACTTGCTGCTTTTTGTTTGCCTGCCTTTTGTGTTACTGAGACCGACAGGAATTTCGAGTTAGTCCTTAATAAGACCACAGGAGAAAGAATATTATTTTTCGAGCTGCCACGTTTGTAATTTATTCGTTGTGCATCATCACTAAATATAAGTATAAAAAATTAAACAGTTGTGAGTTGGAATAAAGATTTTATTGCAGCTACTGAACTATTACTATTTTGACAGTGCTCATGTGTAAGTGTAAGTGTAAAAATGATGATTTTTACGCGTAAACAAAGTTTTAAAATATTCAAGCGGATATATGTACACATTTTTAATTTTTTTTTCAGCTTATAAAGCTTCAATTGATCATTGCGTGCTCATTAAACAAATTGACAACAAAAATTTTATAAAAATTGCGTTTCACACGCATAAAAATGCAATTTTATTGGTTTGTTTGGTTTTTTTTATTTTATTTTATTTTTTATTTATAGTTAAAATTTGTGTAATATCGATGGTGTGTATTAAAAGGGTTGTTCTATCCTTCAAATAAGTGCCATCGATGCAAAATATGTTAAATTACACAAATACATCACATCATAACACAGTTTTACTGAAATCGACTTTCAACAAATATGGATAAAAAAAAACGGATCGTTTTGCATACTTGCTTAGACATTCCAGAAAAAAAAGAAAAAATATTTTTGGTAGTAACTAACCGCATAGTAGTAAAAATATAATTGCTTTGACACAATAATCGCTGGAAAATTGCAAGTTTCTAGATATTAAAGCGTTATACAAAGGTAAAGTTTATGGCTGAAATAAAACAATAATACAATAAAAATATGAACGCTAGGAAGTGCAAAGTTCGATTCAATTTTGCACCCTCACCAAGAGGCACTTTTCTACTATATTGTAAATAAGTGATAGAAAAAAGAATTATATAAATATATGTATGTATAATTAACGGCAGAACTCGCAAACCATTTTTGCGGTTAACGTGGTAAATATATGAGTTGTAATTAAATGAGTATCTTGTTTATGGATGTTCCTAAGTATCGTATGAACTTCTGTGCTCCAGTGGAAACGGAAAGTAAGTAGTACAGGTGTACTCAAGATTGTGTTTTTTTTTGGAGTGTCAAGGAACTTCGAAAAAAAATTTTTTTTCTGCGATTCATTGCAGTTTCCGGATCGATCAAAAAAAAGATTGTAATTTTAAAAGATTTGTGAGAAAATATAGAACATATTTATAATATATTATGTTTATTCATTTGTACAGGCAGTATTTACAAAAATCCATGCTTACACTCTTGACTTATTATCATTTCATTGAACATGTGCGTCATAATAAATGCAGTCTTAGTTGGAAAAATAACGTAATATCACTATCCTTAACTTTATTCCGGTGCGTGCTTAAAGTATTGAGTTGTATTTTTTTTTGCTTTGGTCATGAGTATCTTGTTGGTTTTTTAAAAATTATTATTTGTCATTTGTGGTCGAGTGAAAGTTAAACACGAATACATAAAAAGCAAGTTAGTAATGTTAGTAATTATACACAGGGGACGTTGAAAAACATATTTAAATAACATATTGCTTTCGGAATACTAATGGTATACACCTACTAAATTTTTAATGACAGATGTATCCGGAAGGCCGAAGGACCGGAACTACCGGAAGGTCCGGAAGTACGAGTCCCGTTAGATGGCGCTGATGCCGGTCTCAAAGTTATACCAAACAAAGCAGACGACAGTAGTGTTACACTACTGTTTTCGAAATAAACAAAACATATATTATGTAAAAAATTACTGTTCTCGTCTGCGGTGCTAAATATTTTAGACGATTGCAAACACAGAGCACAGTATTTATGTAATCCCGTTTTAGAGTTTTTATAACGACCATATAGTAAAACATGATTCAAATTTAAAATTATGCTTCCTTCTTTCAAAAGGCTTTACTCCACCATTAACATATTTTATTTACTTAAATATTTTTATTGCAGGACACGAAATTTTGGTAAACATTAACAATAATATAATATTAATGTACCAACATTGTTAACAAGTTTTGTACTTGCCGCTCTGTTTTGAGATCAGCATCAGCGCCATTTAACGGGGCTCGTACTTCCCGGATACCTAACGTCCTAACGGTAGCAAATCTTAAAAGTAAAGAGTGTAAAAAAATGACTTGCTGTACGGTCACCAATTAAACCGTACCTATCTCATACGCTTACACCTAAAAATCAATGCGTACAAGGAGTCATGGGTTATCTCAAAATAAAGCCACTTGGGTCTGTCGACCACGTAAATCAAGTAAAAATAAAAAAATGGCTGTCATCGACAATCACTTGTACATGAGCTCATATTGTAAAAAATGAAAAGTCCGAGCACCTGCCGATGCTCAAAGGTCCAAATTTTATCTGCAAGTGTATATTGTCGTGGAAGAGAGAGCAGCTCAAGGGTCGACGAAAGAGATCATGATGTAGCGGGTGCCCTTGGTGACCTTGAGGCCCTCGTGGTAGTGAGTGAGCCGGCCAGGGTGCATGAGCATCCAGCCGGGTTTGGTGTCGGTGACCGAGCAGTTGTAGCGGATGAAGCGGCAACCACCGCCCTCGTAGTCCTCGCCCGCTCGGTTCAAGGCGATATTGATCGTGTAGGTCGAGCTGTCGTGGTGGGGCCGGAGACTGGGCTGCTCATCCGGACGGTAGCGCACGATGAAGTTCATCAGCGAGCGAGGTGGCTAAGCATCACAGAAACATCGCCATTAGCATGCTTACACTTGGTTACTCTCAAGTATTTAGGTTTATTTTGGAAATAATTTTCATAATGGACAAATCTAATTACTTGTGCATGTACAATTTGGTTGGGTTGGAATGATGATATTAAAATGGTAAAAATCGGTACAACATGATGTGGCAAAGCTACTGGTGGAAGGAAATACTTGTGAGTGGTGCAAAGTAAATACTTGATGAGAATAAGTACGACTTTGATAATTTTGTGATTAAAAAAGTGTATCTACATGTAGTGCCACCGATGTTTATATATTTTACGCGTGCTTTTCAAAAAATCCGTGATTATTGGTAAAAAAAAAAACCCTTTTACCGTTTCGAAATCCCAAAAGATCTATTCAATCTTTTTTTTTTCCAGTAGCCAGTCGCAATAACGTATTTACATAGGGAAGGAATATTTAATGAGCTCGACGCAAAAATGTATTTGGCTTCAGTAAAGATTCCTTGGCCCGATAAATAAAAAATGCCCATAAAAACAAAAACAAAATAGCAACATCTCCGACGATGACTTACGTAATCGTAATATCCCGTAAAAACTTCCTGCTGCAGCGGGTAAACGTAGACCCGGAGAAATTCGAGCCAGGAGTCGTCGAGGCCTACCTGTGTCATGTGTATATCGCGCGTCGGCACGGCTTCGTACCCATTAGAGAGCCGCGGATCCTATAAGATCGTGTACGTGTGAAACCGTATGGGTCGTTCCCCGCAGGAGAGTCGCACGCCGTCGAGTTACGGGGTTTATGATTGGGCGCAGGTCGAGATGCGTGATGAGAGAGCGCGAGGGATAGCGAGGAGTACCAAAAACAAGAGAACAAAAAAAAACACAAGGGAAGGTGAGTCGGGTTTTCGGCGAAAGAGCTTACGTCGTGGAAGTAGCCGAGAAAAACGAGCTCCTGCAGCGGCCTCGCGTAGTTGCGCAGGAAGAAGAGCCACTCGCTCTCCAAGCCTACCTGTTTCATGTGGATGTCGCGCGTCGGCACGTTCTCGTAGCCGTCCGACAGCCGGGGATCCTATGGCAGATACGTATGCATTATTTAAAAAGATATATTTAACAATACAGCCAACTCTGCCGTTCGCTTGATGAAACCAGGGTCCCTCTTTGGCGACGATGATAACTTCTTCTAGGTTTTTTTTTTTTACAAGCGATCCGAGTTCCGTTGTCCACGAATCGTTAGTTATTACAAATATTCTCGACCCATCGTCAATGAAATCGAGATTGTAAATTCACACACATTATCATTTTATTGGCAATTAAAAATTTCCGATCTCGATTTCATTCGATGAACCCGAGACGATGTGGTTCGATCCACGAACTCCGTGGCCTTGTGGATTCGCGGTAACGCACCAGCGCGTGCAATTTTTCCAACCGAGGGCTCAGCGAACGCCCAAAGTAGGAAAAAATTGTTTAATTTTCGAACCAATCGTCGACGTTGGGAAATAAAAATTGATACGAGACAATACAGAGTGGTACAATGGCAACTTACGTGATTCGTTCCGTCGGACCACTGTCCGAACGATTCCATGATTTCAACAAACTCCCTGGTGAATCTCTCGTTCACGATGGGGAACCAGTACACGTCCGGGCAGGGCTGAAACGGCGCCGCTTTGCATTTAAAAGCTCAACCACATACAAATAAATATACAAGTGTATTCTCATACCTGCAGGTGTATCTTATTTTGATGGAAGTTGTGGGAGTAGTTCTCGTGGATGTAGCGTTTCTCCCAGTCGAGCTTGTTGTCGAAGATCTGGTACATGTCGGGATGGGTGCGAGAGACGTTGAAATTGTCGAGGACTACGAGATGGCCGAAATCCAGCCGGTTGCTCACGTGCATGAATATGTCCCGTTTGCGGTTCCCGTGGGCAAAGGCCATTTCCGGGTCGAGGTCGTCCTCCACGTAAGATGGCCTCGTGTCTTTGCCACCGAGTAGAGTGGCGTTCACCAGGTAGCAGCTACTCACGAATGGCACGTTCCAGAGACCCCTGAAATCAAAAGGGAGCAAAAAAAAAAAAAAACACGCGCGTGCCATTATTGGTATAATAGGTACTTCACAGCATCCGCATATCTATACACATAGGTACACGTGTATTATTGGACAATGCCACGCGCTTCGTCGGAGCTGCCAGACAGTTTGGCGTCGGCACTCGTCGCGTATATACCAAATAGGTGATACCCCCCCCCCCCCAGAGTACACAATACTCGTATACCTATATAGGAGACGCGCTTGGCTTGACGGCCGAAACCCGGCGACAAAGCTGCATCGGAGGTCGTCGGGTTTAAAAAAATTTCGGGGTCCCCCGGTGGAGAGGCACCATCAGCTGGATCTGGACAGCGTATCGGGTGCTCGTCGATGATTATTACAAGTGTGTATCATGTATATCGTGCGCGCTTGTATAGGGTACGCGTATACGTACCAGCTATCCACTCTCGGACACAATTATCCAATTGAGATTCATGTAACTCGCTCGCCTCGGTACAGCCTATGTCACCTCGCTCTCTCGAGCTTTTCACATCCTCCAGCCACCCCCCCCCCCCA